AATTGAAAACTGAATTAACCGAAAATCAAAAAATTGAAAACCGAAAAAAAATCGCAAAATTTAATTGGATTGGATCGGTTTTGGATGAGTTGGTGAAAATTGATCCAATCCAAACCGATTCAATGATTCCCCAACCTTATCATTTACCTACTTGGGCCTTTCCCCAATCATAGCCCAAAAACCATATAGCAAAATTCTAAATCCAAGACCCATTAACCCATCATGTTGGAGAAAGTGGGTTGTGCTGATTTACGTTATGCTTTTTTTTGGCAAGATAGATAATATATTTTTATTACATGGGTTATTGGTATACAACAGCTCCTCTATAGGATGAAAATTTGGGTTACTTCGTATCTCATGCAAACCATATTATAAATTTTTTGTTGGAGATAAAAGATAGTAATTAAACTTTTTTGTTGTACAATACTTTTAGATTGCACAATAATCATCATTCAAATCTTAGGTTTTTCAAAAAATCAAAAACCGATCCATCTAAACCGAAAAAAATTGGATTGGATTGGATCGGATTTGAAAAATAATCCAAACCGAATGGATGATTATATGATTAAACTTAAGGGATTGGATTGGATAATTTTTGTTTTCATAACCGATTCAATGTAGATCGCGAACCCCCTGGTATAAGCCATTTGATTAATAATTGTGAAACGAGTCAACTTGGACATCATATACATCAAATGTTACAATGGTCAGAGACTTAGGCGGATATGTAAATTTTTGGGAGAGTAGTATTCCGGGTCTTTTTTTTCATGTTATTGTAAAAAAAAATACTCAACAACCGATTATAACTATGTATTTCTAATAAAGATACATAATTATTATTTTAAAATTATTTTTTTCTCTCTTCATATCAACAGACAATTTTTGAAGAGGTAAAAAATTAACTTTAAAATTATAACTTTATATTTTTCAGAAATACATAATTATAATCATAGGTTGCTGTGGCATCAACAAGTACATTTCTCAAATATTATTTTCGTAAATATGCAAAACATAGACTTACGCGCATATGTAATTTGCGATTTTCTTTTACCTAACTAGATTAATATCTACGCATCACACGAATTCGTTATTTTATAACTTCGAAGTTATAAAATAAAATGTAACTAAAATTTGTTATTTAATATACATAGTGCTTGTTCATATTCTTTTGGGAGGAATTATTAATAAGAAATCATTTTGAGAAGAAGATAATAAAAGGATTTCAGGCAATGATTTAAAATTTAAATTTTAAAATAGTAAATAATGAGACAGCGGTAAATATACATGTTAAAGGCAGAGAACATTAAAGATATATATGATATAAACTTATATATAAAGGTGTTTAATATGTAACTAAAATTTGTTATTTAATATACATAGTGCTTGTTCATATTCTTTTGGGAGGAATTATTAATAAGAAATCATTTTGAGAAGAAGATAATAAAAGGATTTCAGGCAATGATTTAAAATTTAAATTTTAAAATAGTAAATAATGAGACAGCGGTAAATATACATGTTAAAGGCAGAGAACATTAAAGATATATATGATATAAACTTATATATAAAGGTGTTTAATATGTAACTAAAATTTGTTATTTAATATACATAGTGCTTGTTCATATTCTTTTGGGAGGAATTATTAATAAGAAATCATTTTGAGAAGAAGATAATAAAAGGATTTCAGGCAATGATTTAAAATTTAAATTTTAAAATAGTAAATAATGAGACAGCGGTAAATATACATGCTAAAGGCAGAGAACATTAAAGATATGATATAAACTTATATGTAAAGGTGTTTATTATAAGAGCCCAATTGTTTGTGTGTTTTTCTTATAGAAAAATTATTTTTCAATTAAAAAATGATTATTAATTATTATGTGATTTTTCTCTAAAAAAAACGTTTCAATGTTTTTCTCATTAATTAAAAATAACAATTTTAATAAATAGAATTAAAAAAGGATTATACATCATAAAATCACTTTTTTTTAAGCTTAGACAAATGGGCCTTAAGTTAGATATCAAAAAGTGGATCGTGGCATAAATTACGAAAGAAGCTGCGTTTGGGAGGAAAAAAATTATTGTCAGGATGAATTTTTAAATGAAATCATACGGACAAACATTTCTTCATATAATAATATACATTACCTTTGTTGAAAAACCCTTGCCATAGACAAAATCAAAATATGATAGAATAAACTAACATAATTTTTACTTTGCAAGAAAATGTTTTATTGAGAAGTAGTTTTTACAAACCATTTATTTTACATCTTTTGTTTATATTTATTTGTATTGAAAAAAAAAACAAATAAAGAAGGACTATATATTAATGAGAAGTGTTTTGCTTTGTAGTTTTTTTTTTTTTTTTTCATAAAACAGTGTAAGAATGATTCAAAATAAAAGTTATGCTCATCAAATAATATCCTCCGTTACTATTTCTCTAACTTTTTTTTTTTTTGGTACATCTATTTCTCTAACTTTTATCATGTGCTAATTAGATGTTTATGTTTTGAAAAGGTAGAATTGACCTTTTTAACTTCACGTTCTGTGCAAGAAATATTCTATTAAGTAAATCGTTAAATACCTAACATAATTGTTACAAAAGAAAAGAATTATTGAAAAAAAGTATACAAATAAATGAAATAATTTATGGATATTCTTAATTTACTAAATAAACATAATAATATAAAAGTAATAGGAAACCTGTAGAACAAAAACATGGCAATTTCGTTATAAAAACAAATTCTCGACTATAAAGTTAATTGTTACATTTTGGTATCGTGATATAAAGAATTGTTAGGTTATATGTCTTTTTACAAGTTGAATGAATTTAAATCTTTTTATGTTAAGTTTTATAGATTCATTAGAATTTAACTTTAAATAGTAAAATAGGATACTATTGCTAAATTTCAATTTTCTGGACGTGCAGTTATTATTATTATTATTATTTTTTGCAAGTAACGTGCAGTTATTTTTTAACTGTTGGAAAATGGGCTTATGCGGAGTTAATTTTGTTATATATATTATAATTATTTTTTTAGGGAAAAAATGTTTGTAATTTCAAATGACACAACTTTGTGTCATTTTTAATGAAACTATGTCGTTTTTTGTGTGTTTTTGCATTCTCTCTCATCTAGTTTTTTTTTTCCCGATTTAATAAAAAAAAATGTAAAAAAATACCAGAAACATATTAAAATGACGTAATTTCATTAAAAATGACACAAAGTTATGTCATTTAAAATAAGAAATATTTTATAAATAAACAACAAGTATTAGAATTTTGGTATACAACTGTTAACTCAAAAAGTTTGTATACTTCAATTATTTAATTTATAAAAAAAAATAACCAAATAAACTTGATATTAAGTGCCCATATGCAAGTAACATTGTCGATTTGTCACATCTCATGGACGATCAGTGTTTGGTTTTTTCCTTTTTTTTTTTTTTTTTCTCCAATTAGGAGACTAGAAAGGATGAGAACAAAAAGAAGAAAAGGAGGGGACAAACAGCATGTAATTAAGGCAGTAATAAAGACGAAAGATGAAAGAAATGCAGTAGGTGGATCTTGGGGTATAGTTGTGTGGATGTATATTCTTTTATTCTTGGTTTGGCAGTTTGAACTTGGAAATATGAATTATATATATATATAGAAAAGCGTGCAATGCCAAACTTCAAGAAAAAAGTGTATTGATAGAAACAAGGAATAGTCAAGAGGATAGCAGTATGATAAGGCAGAAGAAAAAGGTAAAAGAATTGGTCAAGTCACAGTCATTGAATTCATTTCATACCCAATGGAATTAACAAAGGCGTTCAGATATAAGAACAGCTCCATAGTGTTGGCACTGTCTAATAAATGCGAATGGCATTGAGAATTAAACATATTGGGTTGAGTAGTTTTACTCAGGAGCAACTTGAACGAACAGCTATAAATGCTCTTCTGTTTCACAGCATAGTCTAATCATCCTTTTTATTTATTTTTTTCATATCTAATAGTTCAACTGTATCATGTGTATTGAAAAACAAAATATCACACAATGCAAAATTAATATAATTAATTAATAAGAAGAATAATATACAAATATTCTTATGTAGTGCAAAAAAGTATTCATAAATTACTCAACAGTTATTGATTAAATGTTATCTCAACTAAATCTTATGATTTGACCTGTTCAAAAGATAATGAATTCGATTTTTGAAAATTGCAGTTCTTGAAAAGGATGGAGAGACTCAAATTCACAATTGAATTAGTAGTGAAGCTTAATAAGACTTCGAACACCGGTTAGTATGTAATTAAAAAAAATCATAAATTTGACCAAAATTATACCATCATTACTAATTAAAAGGAGAGAATAAACTGTTTGCTAATAAATAATAATCATAATCTTTCCATGGAGGAATCCTCCATCTAATTTATTTTCTTGGTAGAAATAGTAAAAACGCAATAAAAACATTGGCCAGCTACTTTATATGTTGAGGTCATATTTCTGTCTAGATGTTTTGTAATGATATAAAAAAAATTAAAAATGCTATTCGAGCTTTGACGTACGGAATGTTTATCTTGAGTGTCCATCAAAAGTGAATTGCAAGTTCGATTCTTTTCTCCAGCTGGTATTGTCAAAACTCCTTAAAACAGAAAGGAATATAATCATAATAAAATTCTTGAATATATATATATGTAGAGTTGCACTCTCATATATTAGATATTCCTAAAACATATTTGTACTTAACGCATGCACAAGATTAATATATTCAGATTTAAATAACACACTATATATAGAGTAATATTTCCAAGTAAACATAGTTTAGTACACGAGAAATTGCATAAATTATATGTATAGAATTGAAGAATAATCTTCCAACATTATGAGTCCATGTTTATACAACATTTGAATGACAAAATATGCATTTATGTGGATCAGTGATGATGATGACCATGATAACAAACCAAAAGAGGAAGAGAAGTTTAATTACCTATTGCATTAATTATGTCATCACATGAAACCCTAAGAGCGGTTGACAGCGCGGCGGTCATCACCCCCGCTAGCAGGTTGAAGCTGATTGAGTTGCCCTAAGCTAGCAGATATGTTCATGGCCAAGAGACTAGCATCATAATTGTTCCCTGCATCAAAGCTTCTAACCATTTGTTGTTGGTACTGCTCCCTTGGAAAGAACTGATGATGGTGATGATGGTAGTGGTGATCACGGTTATTACCACCACCTGCGTTCTGCGGGTGGTGGTAAGTAGTAGCAGCAGATTCTGCTGTTATGAGGCCGTGGTTGGTGGTGATGCTCAAGTTTTGGTACCTAGAGAGTTCGGATTTGGCACAATAAAGATCCATTTGGAGCTGGCGAAGTTGGTGTTGAAGGAGAGAGATGACTCCAACACAGCCATAGACAGGGTCACGGAGCCTCATCTCAGCTTCATAAGCAAGGGAATTGACAGCATCTTCACGTTGGTGAGGGTGCAAGTCATTGAGAAGCTTTGTGACATTGCTTGCCCCAAAAATTCTATGAACATTTGCAAACTTTTGAGGCTGATCAGGTGGGAAGTATGGTGCAAATGCACACTCTGGCTGGCATTTGCGCCGCAGAAACTTGCATGCTGCACATGGTGAATTTGATGATGCCATTCTCTCACTTTCTTTTCTCCTCCTTCTCTTCCTCCTCCTCCTCTATCTCTCACACCACCATCAATTTCTGTGATGCAGCAAAATGTTTGTTATTAGTATATTATAAAATAATAATAATAATAAAATGTTAAAATGAAAAGTGAAGTGATCAATTAATGTGTGTTAGATGGCAAATCCATTATTTTACGCTACACACTCTTTTTCTTTTCTTATTTTATTATATCTTCTTCTTTTCTTTTCTTTTGTATTTGCAATTTAAAATTAAACCAAACTGACATAATTTGCTTCCCGTTTACCACCAAACTTTGCGCAGGATTTTTATATAGATAGTTTATCAACAGTTAAAATTTTTGTTCTTATTTTTCTTCAAATTTATGCTATTTTTAACTTGAAGGAAAAAAACAAAAGTCTATATTATAAAAAAAATATAAATCGGCCATGGTTTTGTACACTAAAAAAAATATTTGAGAGATCCAAGAGAGAAAAGATCAAAGAAGCAATGGGATTGAAGAAAATGCAAAAGCGAGAAAAACAAGGAATAGATCTGCATATATAACTAAATTCAAAGATTGAGTTACCACTCCAATTTCATATCCTCAGACAAACTCCTTGAACCTTGTGTTGGTGGCAGAGAAATTGAAGACAATAACTAAGAGGGAGAGTTTGTATTTCAGAAAGTTGGTGCTACTAGGGGAAAAAATAAAGTGAATGTTTGAAGGCAGAAGACGACACTCCCTTGTGTGAGAATGTGAGACTTGAATCTTCAAACTTTGTACGATATAGGGGTATAAATATAGAGAGAAGAAGAACTTAATTAATGTAATTCTTATGGTTTTTTTTTTTCTTTGAGTTGGGTATAAAATTTCCAATTGTCTAATCGAGTTGGGATCATATAAATGTTTATAACATACTTGTCATGACCAGGAAACTGTGTATGATGGGATAATTGGCATATGCAATTTCGTCTTATTGGTTTCTTTTTGCAGATGGATGAAGCCAAGATTGATGGTACGGAAGCAGTAGACAATTTGGTGATTTACTGAAAAAAAGAAAGAACATATTTTCTTAATTAGAATGAAAGAAAAAAATGGGAGGGTAGTTTTTTTTTTAATTCTTCTCGCTTTAAAACTCCAATTAATAGCATGAGATATTGATAAAAAAACCATAAGAGTTAACTAAGATACATTACATAGATTCCATAACTCCTGATAGCAAAAGTGATCCTCCATAATATTATGTCCACAGGTCTCAAAATAATTCACCCTAAATGTCATATAACTCATACTTTGTAACCTTCATAACGTTCATAATAGGTAATTAACCTCACCAAAGAACATATAAGTGACATAACTAATAAGACACTATTAACATCAAATTATTATTCAACACACGCGTGGGAACAGAAAGTGAGATTGCAAAAAAAATATCTCGGGGGGAGTTTTGTTGCCTTTGTGGTTATACCTCACATGATTAATCAATTAAAAGATAAATCGGTGGAAAAATCTAAAAAAATATAAAAATAAAAGTCTCCTGAAAATTTACCGAGAAAAATAAAGAAAGTCAGTCTCGAGCATTGTTGTCAAAAATTAGTGTAAAAACGTAAAAACTTATATTTTTACATTTTTACTAGAGTGGTGCGTGTTAAAACTCAAGTAAAAACTGTCAATGATAAAAACTGATAGAAACGTCGCGTAAAAGCGGTAAAAGCATACGTTTCTACCGTTTTTACTTAAAACTAAAAATTTAATAAAAAAAAGATTTACAAATTTTGTTTTTAAAAAAAAACTTAATTTTTGTTTTCCCAAATCATATTCACAGTATCTTAATATCTTTTTGTTTGGATATATATTTTTTATAATTATGTCTTATAAAGCTATAATACTATTATAAGTTATGCTACGAGAACCGTTTTGTGTTTTTGAATCATTGTGTGCATTGAAAGAAGTAGAATTATATCCTGATGACTGATGAACAATGATCCAAAATCTGCAGAGTGTATAAAGCAATTAGAGCATATTTGTTATTCATTACTTTTTAATTATCACTGTTTATAATTTTGATACTTGGTTATGAAAAATAATTTTTCTTTTTATATAGATAAGTGACTCAACACACATGTTCATTATGTGATATTTTTTTTTGCATGCATATATATAATTTTGTATCTTGACATTAAGTGATAGAAAATAGAAACTTTACGTTTCGTGTCGTTTCTACGTTTTACGTTTCTATCACCCTTTCTGTTTCTACGTAGAAATTCGAATTTCACAACATTGGTCTCGAGAAAACATTGAGAAACCAGGTCATGCCAATAACATTTTCTTTTTTATTTTGAGTCTAGCATTATAAAAATAAAAAAATTCTTCCGTAAATAGAGAATAGAAATCAAACTTCAGAATATGCAACATAAAATAAAAAGAAAAAAATAATTTAAAAAAAGAGATATCAAATTTTTCCTTCTTTTCCATACCATAAATTTTCACGTTGATATTCCACAAAATATATGGATAATTATTGGAATCATATCTAAAATAATTCGTTTGATTAGCTCTTGTACATCTGTCACTTAGCTTGAATTTCTCTTGTACATCTGTAATATCTCTATATTTTTAAAGTATATTCCTGGACTTTAAATATCTCTATATTTGTCAAGTATATTCATGGACTCCAGTCATCATCCTTGAGATTAGGGACTTTTTAGCCGTACCTTTTGTATATTCTGATCACATATGAATGAGAACAATAAGGAAAAGTCAGGATCTGATTTTACTTGTACGAGAAGCAAGATCCGTATATAAACGTATGACTTTTGAAAAAAAAAATATTATACATTGTTTTTTAAAAGTTGTTTCTTTCAAAAGTCAAAACAATTTTATATTTGGATGATTATATAAAGCGTTCATCTAATCTTATGTTGTATCGGAGAAAATCTATTATGTTGTAGACACATATATATGATGCAATTCACCATTTACAAAAAAAATAAAAAAAGAGTGTCACGATTTTCGATTGGTCTATTGGAGATAAAACTACTCTTATGTTGCATAAGAGTAGTTTTCCCTTATATAAAATGCATTATTAAGTAAAAATTACTATTTTAATTTTTTTTAGAAGTAAAAAATGTTGGATTAAAATATATCGTTTTAATTTTTTTTTTCAAAAGTTGCATCTAAATATTTTTATTTTATTTTATTTTTTTAAAGAAAAATAGTTGCTTGAAGAAGAAAAATTCATCCAAATAGACTCTTAAAATGCGCTTTAACATTCGTCATGGAGTCATGAGTGATAAGACAGATTGTGTTGGGATAAGGTCCCACAAATAATGCAGAAGCAATTCACAGGTCAATTAGTTGAGCTCACAATTTTGTACTTAGAGGTTAGCTTGAAGTTATCAAGTCGGCCCACACGCAGAGATTATAAAAAAGTAGAAATGAGAGATGGAGAAAAAACACACATCAAATTTTAACATGGAAAATCTCCCCTAATGTAGAGGACAAAAAATCACGTGACCTAGTTCAGAAAACCTTCCACTATAAATTGTAAGATTACAAAGATTCAAACTTCCCTAGTATAATAACTCACACTATCAAGTTGTGTAAATGGGAATCATGATATGGAATTCATGATAAGAAATTATAGTTATTGATGAAAAAAAATTGGAAACTATTATTCTCAAGTCATGAATTGAGAGTTAAATAAGAGATTATGTGATTAAGAATACAATTCTTGCCAATCAAGTCAATTAGGACTAAAATGTACATGCATGAAAAGTAAACGGGTCAAAGTGCAATTATGAAAAATTTAGGGACCAAATTGCAAATAAGCAAAAGTTGACCTAAACTTAATTATGATATCATAATATGAATCTTTGGGAAATTTCATGGGTTTGAAATGATGTCATAAAAGTTTATTATGTATAGAAATTAAGTTAGAAATGTTAGAAGATTCAAGGACCAAATAGCAAATTTGAATAAGTTGGATGGTCAAAGTCAACATTCTTATGTTATAATTGACCAAGACTTAAAGTGATATTTCATTTCTTTTCTTCTTCGTTCTCTGTTCAACCTTAAAAGAGCAACCCACCATCAAACTCCATGAGAAGAAAGTTCAAGCTCACACACGATGATCTAGCCACTAAAACATCTTGAGCCTTTCATGAAAAATGAAGCTTAAAACCTAGGAAGCAAAATCTATCCATTCATTTTTCCAAAGAAGCTCTAAGTTGAAAGATTTCTCCTCTCTTCTCATTCGACCAAGTGCTTCCATGAGAGCTTGAATGGGTTGTTTCAATGCTTTAAAGCTTGGAGAATGTTCCTTGAGTGTTTTTGAGCACATCCTTGGTAAGAAACGTGAATTTAAACCATTGGTTGTGGAGTTTGATTTTTAGGTTTTCATGGTGATTTTGATATTGGTTGATCATGAATATGAGTTGGATTGCGATGGTGGATGTTGTTCCTTGATTGATTTAGTGTTGAAAGTACTAGTGAGTTGGTGTTGGAAGCTTGAAATCTTGATGAATACATTAGGTGTGAATTTGGCCAAGGCATAAAAATTGTGGGTGGAAGCTTGTCAAATTTTAGTTGATGCTTGGAAGCTTTCTCCCAGATTATTTCAAGTGTTTTCAAGGTAAGCTTGGAAGGAAGCTACAAGAGGTAAATTCATGGTTTATGAGTTTTACTCCCCATTGTTGTTCCACCAGGCTTCTACAAAAGTTATGGTTATTTAAGTGGATGATTGAGTAGCGCGTTAATAATATGGTATGACTGCATTCATATAGAACTATTGTATCATTGGTGAAAGGATAAATTAACAAGCACTAGGAGCTAGGTTGTAGAATTAGTAAAAGTGTAGGTATACAACAAAAGTTTGAGTAAGGATTTTATTGTATGTACTTTGGCCATTTGAACTGTTAAGGATATGCCTCTAGATATAGGTTGTTTTCTACTAACCTTTCATGCAGGAAGTGAACTCATAGGTGGAGAACTGCTCCATAAATCCTG